CAGACTGAGCAGGACCTGTATTTCTCAAGATATGTTTAATAGAATAATGTTCTAGTTAATCTTTTAATAGGCGTGATTAGGAAAAACATTTCTCGGGTAATCAAACAGATTTTGGATACACCTAATAAAATGTAGTTCTGTGGAGATTTTCAGTCCATGTTAGTTTATATAAAAGAAAAATGAGTAACCTTCAGAGGTATATCGCTTCCCTTTCTTGCAATTACTCCATTCAGACCTCCAGTCTTGAAGCGTGTGTGTGTGTGTGCGTGTGCACATGTGCATGTGCATGTGCGTGCGTGTGTGTGTGTGTGTGTGTGTGTGTGATGGGAGAAATGGAGAAAGGGCCACCAGGGATATACAGACAATCTTTCTTAATTGCCATGATCAAAGAAGCAGCTTTCTGTGGAACCAGCAGAACTATCTGCTGTGCAATAGAGCTTTCATTATTTTTCTTTCTTATCTTCCTGGACAAACTTAATGAAGTGGCGGCCTTCGACCAGGCTTCACTTTCTTATCATCTCCTTATTTGTTCACACTATCTCAAAATGAGAAAGTCTCCATCGTCCAAAATTGTTTTCTCAGAACTTCCCAGAGACCAGTGACCTACTAATTCTGTTTGCGTCTTCTCCATCTTAAACCGTCTGTATTGTCAACCATCCAGTTCTTTCTAGAAATCCTTGCTCCTTTTTGTTCTGTTAGGCTATACTATAGTTGCTGTCCTTTTCTTCCATCTGTTTCCTAAGGAAAAGCCTTAAGTGGTCATTTTTCCCAAATCCCCACCATTTCTGCTTTCACCTCTGTGGCCCTGAATAGCCCTGATCTCTCCTCCGGAACTAAGAGTAGCAGTAATTTCCACGAGCAATGATACCCGCATCAGAAAGCAAATAGATCCAATACCAAACTCCTTTCTCCTGCCAAAACCACACATTTTATAGTTCTCTACTGTCAAACCTCAGTGTGTAAAGGGACTTTTTTCTTTTTTTTCTCTTTTCTACATCCATAACTCATCAATGGCCAAGTTGTGTAAATTCTAACTTTGCAATATTTTTCTTATCAATTCTCTCTTTCCTTCCCATTGAGGATCACTAAGAGCAGAAATATTACCTCTTGGATGGGACGAATGAAATAAATAAATATTTTCATGAAAGTAAATGGAAAGGAAAAGAAAAAATTAAATTTTGATAGAGACAAAATGTCATCAAGATGGGCCAATTGAAGGTCTACTAACTGTTCTGATAATTTGGCATCTCCTTGCTAAAATCATCACAGTCCCTGTTTGACAGCCTACAGTGATATCGATCCAAAGAATAAACTTCTGTTCCTCTTTCTAATGAGTTTGCCAAATAATTCAAAATGTTAATTTAATTGACAATAAGAAATACCTCTGCCAAGAGCACTGAGCCCTCAAATGTAAATGAAGTGAGTGACAGGGGAAAACTATGAAGGGCTAAAATACAGAGTAAACTTGAATGAACAAAAGGAGCACAGTTATTCAAAGTCACCTAAAGTTAGCATCATCTAGTTGACTCACAGATCAAATAGAACAAGATGAGTATATTAACATCTAGGAAAAGAAAATGTAAGATCATGACAGCATTAATGAGCCTTGGGAGATACTGTTCAGGGTCCCAGCTAAGTTGCTCCAGAGACTCCAAAATATTTTTAAAATTAATATTCCCCATAGAAAAGTACAGAGGTAGGCAATTCGTACTTAATATATGGTTTCCATCTTTCTCCCCATTATTACAGGCTAGAGGAAGAGAACTAAGAAAAGGATGAAGGTGCTTTAAGTGAGCAAATCTAATTCTAAGGCTGAATTAGGAACTCCATTCTCAGACCTAAGGCAGGTCTGTCACTAAAAGAGCTGACCTTTCTATCTCTAACTCCTGCTTCCTTTGTCTATCTTGCTTGTTCCGGAACTCATATTTATTATTTTCCTTAAATACCCATAATCTGCAGAGCACTTAATTTAAAAATATATTTTTAAGTTAGACTATTTTAGGTTTTGTATTATATTTATGTCTGTGTTTGTTGGGTCTTAAAGTGTTTAGTTTGTGAATATCAACTATTTTTAGTCAAAAATCACCAGTAAAAGTTCATTTATGATATAATGAACTTCTAATAATATTATTCTCTCTCCTTTTTTAATGGGGAAATTTGAGTATTATCGTAAGTTTTTTTTTTCAATTAGTGGTTTGATAATCTTTGCATAAAGCATTTCCTAGACTATTCAACATTTTCCCCATTATACTACTTAATTCAGCTCCCGAGTTTGTTCTCTTATTATTAAATCAATATGTTTGACCTCTCTGATTTCTGCTGATGCTCAAAGGCAAAATTTCAAACATATTCTGTTAATAACTGAATCTTTCACTACACCTTCATTTAATGCGTAATACAGAAGACAATACAAATTACTTTAGTCATACAATATTCTTAATAAAATATATTAGATATTTTAAATTAAGTGATCTGTTTGGATGACTATTTATATTCAAGTGATGGTATTTATCTGTTTAAAGATCTGAATAGGTTTTTCTTCAAAGGTGATATGAAAGTGGTCAATAAACACATGAACTAATGCTCAACATTATTAGTAATCAGCAAAATGCAAATCAAAACCACGAGACAGCACTTTACATCCACTAGGACAGTTATGATGCAAAAGGCAGATAATAACAAGCATTGATGGGGACATGAAGAAATTAGAACCATGATACACTGCTGGTGTCAATGTAAAATGCTATAATCCCTTCAGAAAACATTCTGGCAGTTCCTAAAAAAGGCTAAATCGAGTTACCCGATGACCTGGCAATTCCACTCCTAGATATAGACCCAAAGAAATTAAAGCACATGTCCACACAAGAATCTTTACATTAATATTAAGACCTGCCTTATTCACAATGTCGTAAACAGCCCAAATATCCATCCTCTGATGAATAGAAAAGTAAAATGACATATATCCATACAATGGAAAATTATTCAGTTATAAAAAGGAACGAAGTAGTGATGCATATTACAATATGGATGAACTTTAAAAACATTATGCCAAGTGAAAGAAGCCAGTCCAAAAAACAAAAAAGCACATATTGTATGATTCCATTTATATGCAATATGCAATGTCCAGAATAGGAAAATCTATAGAGACAGGGTAAGATTAGCCTGTGGTTGAAAGAGTTTGGATACAATGTGGGCGGCTGCAAAAAGGTAAAGAATTTCTTTATGGGATGATGAAAATATTAGGAATTAGCAGCGATAGTTGCACAGTTCTATGAATATACTAAAAATATTACATTGTATACTTTAATGTGTTAATTATATGGTATGTGAACTATATCTCAATAAAGCTGCTAATAAAGAGAGTTATTTTGGTAGACTAAGGCATTTATTGTATCACTTACTGGGAAATAATTTTGCAGGTCAATCTTACTTATGGGAAATCCTTAATTATGTGGTAACAATGTATTCAACAACATCACTTTCATTTTTAATATGACAATATTCATTAGAATATATTAGGAAAAGTCCTATTTTAAGTGTCGCTGAAATTCTTTTTAAATTTATGTTAAGTGCAATTTGTTCACCAGGCAATATTGTGTGCCAATATATAATATTTACTAGGAGTTGGAAAATGTAATTTAACCGATCTATAAATACTAATGTGTGTTAGTGGCGATGGGCCTCATTTTATCATTTGTGCAAGAGAGAAACTGGGCTAGATATTCAGCTCTAAAGCTGTATGATTCTATGACAAAGATGGATGACAAAATAATGAAGCCATATGATAAGTTCTATGAACATTCAATTAGTTGGTGACAAAACAGCTTTCAGTATTTTATTTAATTACATCAAAATGCTAAGTATGTCCATCAAAGAAAATTAATTTCATTCATGATCCTGTTACATCCTTTCCAGTGCAAATCTTAAAGGCTTATAAATTTACAGAATAGAAACATTTATATTCAGAACTTTGAGAAAATTGCTCCTGGGAAAATCTTTCTGTCTCAATAGAACAGAGATGTAACTAGAGGTAAGAGTAAAATCTACTTAAAATACCAGAGGGCATTTACTATTTTTCAATTAGCAATTTCCTCCGTCCAGTACTAAATCCCAGGAAAGAATTTTCCTTTTCCTTGACTTATTTGATTTGGCACTTCACTTAAATAACTATTAATTAACTCACTAAATTTAAATTTTCATAACTGCAAGCACCATGGTGGAATTTACTCAGAAAATCAACATTTTGTCTAAAATACCAAGTAAAGAATATGAAAAGTATGAAATTCAGTGCAACATTTGTCTTTAAATAAGGCCAGTGACTATGTTCGCTGATTGTATTTTACTCGATTATGCAAGTCAAAAACAACCTCTATATTTTATGAAACTCTATCAAAATAAAAAATAGGAAATAATGTTTTGATGATATAATTTCCCTCAATACCCTGAAATTCATATTAAACATTATTTCTTTTATACTACATTAGCTGATTTTATCAACTACTTTGTTATCATTCCATAATAATTATAAAATTTTAATTTTGAGCTAATTTGTGCACATGTAGCCTTCAGATAAAAACTTACCTCAGAAACAGAAAAAAAATGGCTTTAAGGCCATACAGTAATGACTGCTGTCATCCTGTTTTTACAAGTTTTATTTGAGAATTATTAATCTTGAAAATAGAAACAATGCCCTAATCCTAACAAGTGATGAAGACATAAAATTTAGATGAAACAAATTATATCAAGATTAGCTAGAAAAGACAGCAAATCACTGTCAATTTCCTATATGGCTTGGACCCTATAACAGTTTTGTATTTGTCTGTCTGTCTCTCTACCTATCTCTCTATCTATCTGTCAGATGATGATAACTCACACAAATACAAGTATAGGTACATATCTAGCTGTATACCTAGGCTTACTACTGTATTTCTAAATCACATAACTGCACTTATATGTTTTATAATTTAAAACGCATTATCTTAAAGAAAAAATATACTTACTGCCCTCTAGAGGTATGAACCAGTAGTGTAATAAGTGTAGATGTTGCTGGGCATATACAGTTTAAAGCTAACATGGCGTATTTAAACTCTTCTTCACAAACAACATGATCTGTTTGAAATAAAATAGGTAAATTAGAATAATTTACCTTGGGATAGTAGTATTTTAAAATAATATGAAAAATAAAACAATGAATAAAATTACAAAACTTTCCATATAAACACACTTGTTTTAGAGAGGTTTTTACATGTGCAAATTTATCCCCAGGAAAAATGATTCATAAGAGAGTACTAGACTATGAGGTAAGTTATTGAGGTATGGAGGATCTGGCCCCAGACCTGTCTTTACTAAAATTGACAGCCTTTGGAAAAATGCTTACTTTTCCTGTGCCTCATCTGTACAAGGAGGTAACATGTAGGTAGGTTAGAGGTACAGTCTGGATAATAAACCAGAGACTATATAAAGTCTCCTTTACTTCTGATAATTCTATGGTATGAAATACAATAGTACTTACTGATTTATAACATAATTGATTGATCAACTTCATAGTCAACATAAAGACTTAGAAATTGATTATTAAAAAATGTGGCAGATAATATTTGCACAACATACAAGTAATAGATTTTTATAATCAAAACAACCATAATTACCAATCAATAAAAATTAATCCTGAAATAAATATAATTTTAAATTATACTTTAACCTCAGGACCTAGGTCAAAAATTCAAAAGATGATAGAGTCCAGTCAGAAAAGATAATAAATGGCATAAAAAGAACTCCAATGACATAAAAACAGTAAAGAGTGTTAGAAAAGATGGCACGTAAGGGGGCGCAGTCATATTAAAGGGGGGTGATGCTACTCAGCCCAAGTATATTATTTTCATGCAAGAGTGAGGGCCCGGATGCCATATACTTAATTTTCCACAGAAATCATGTTTTAGAGAAGCAATTAAAGTTTGTTTGGGAAAAAAGCTGTTTGTTTTGGGAAAAAAAACTTCCCTTCCAAGTAAACTATTATAGCTGGTATTGGAAATAAAGACTGTTTAAAGTTCTAATGAAATAAATATTCTTAGGCAGAAAATAGCAGTTTTAGCTAAATTAAGAAATAGAAGGTTGAATAGGTCAGTCGGATCTATAAAATGAATACATACACCATACAATTTATGAAGAAACAAGATTACTTGGGAAATGGTTCATCAAACGCTCCAGACAGATAAATAATAACATTACTCCAATTTGTATAACACGAGTTAGCATATGAAAGAGCCCATTATTTTTTTCTTTTTCCTTCATTTCCTTATTCATTTTTTTTCTTTCACCTTTTATGGAAGAAATTGTATGCTATGGTTACATATCAGGATTTACTCTTAAAAAAATCAAGAATCTGCTAACAATGTCTCTTTCTTTGTTTCTCTTTCCTATTTTTTTGCTTGTCAAATATAATGATAATTTTTAAGGAAAATCTCAAAACTACATAACCATGATACTTAATATTTTGCAGGAAGGCAGGTAGATTCAAAATCCAATTTTGAATGTGGAAAAGTATACAAAAATATTTGCAAAATAACAGTGACTTAAACCACTATTTCGATATTTCTCAAAATAATTTTTGAGTGTGTATGACCAATCTATGAAAATAAAGTAACAAAACTGCTAAATGAAGAGTGTTATTACTTTAGAATCATATGATAGCCATACATATGGGGTCCATAAATCTTAAACCAAAAATTGAGCATATGATTTAAGAAAAATGTTTACACGTATTATGACATGAGATAGACTACCAGAAAATTTAGAAGGTATGTTTACCATATATGCAAAACCACATGCAATTATTAACTTTCCCTTGGTTTAATGTACAAACCGTACTTCTTCTAGTAGAGGGGACCATGAGAAAATGTGATAGTTCTGTGATAGTTGAAAAATGTTCCATCTTATTTCCCTTCAGTGGTTAAAAAGTAAAAAACTGGGTCCCCTTCCTTCCCTTTTCCTCACTTAATGTGTTCATCTGTGTTTGGTTGGGGATGGTTGATGGAAGATCATGTTGCACTGGCTAATTTTTCAAAAACTATACTAATCTGTGGGAAATGGAAAGAAGGGAAAGATTAGTAAGTTTTAGGTAGTAATTTTTATTTCTGTATATGCTTTTTTCTACAAGTAAGTAAAGCTTTTACAGTGTCTATTAGGCTATCCAGCAATGTACATATTACTGGAGGCTATTTTACACATAAATACAAAGTAGGTTCTGCACATTTTAGTAAATACTGAATTATTTAGAAAGACAACCACTGTATGAATTAAGAGAAAGTTTATTTTGTTTCGTATTGTATGTGAGTCATTAATACAAGTTTAAGATATGATCATTAATAATAAGTATTGCCCACTACTGTCAGTGTCAGTAGTGGGCATGTACTAATTGGTGCAAGCAATTGTCTCTCTTGCATTGTCTTTTTTTGGTTATTCATACCTGGGCATTTACATATTGAAATATACACTTCCTTACTATTAATTATTTCCCTCTCTTTCTCCTTCATATTACAATTAGGACATTATATTAATTATTTAAAATGTGTTCATATAGATGTTTACATTTACTCTGAATTTCATTCCAGGATAGTAAAGGAAGTGTTACAAAATATTTATCATAAAAAAGAGGCATTGGATCAGATACGTTGAAAACAATCGTCTTAGATTAATCAGTTAATTGTATATAATGTTGGGATTCCTTGTTAGATAATAAGAAAAATCAGTACTCTTTTTATAAAGAAAACATCTATGTAATCAATAAGGATGATTGTATAATCTCCAAAATATACAAACAGCTCAGGCAGCTCAATATCAAAAAAATAAACAACCCAATCAAAACTGGGTGGAAGACCTAAATAGACGTTTCTCCAAAGAAGACATACAGATGGCCAGCAAACACATGAAAAGATGTTCAACATCACTAATTATTAGAGAAATGCAAATCAAAACTACAATAAGGTATCACCTCACACTGGTCAGAATTGCCATCATCAAAAAATCTACAAAAGATAATTTCTGGAGAGGGTGTTGAGAAAAGGGAACCATCATGAATTTTTGGTGGGAATGTAAATTGATACAGCCACTATGGAGATTCTTTAAAAAACTTAAAATAGAACTACCATATGACCCAGCAATCCCACTACTGGGCATATACCCAGAGAAAACCATAATTCAAAAAGACACATGCACCTCAATGTTCACTGCAGCACTGTTTACAATAGGCAGGACATGGAAGCAACCTAAGTGCCCATCAACAGATGAATGGATAAAGAAGATGTGGCACATATATACAATGGAATATTACTCAGCCATAAAAAAGAAACGAAATTGAGTTACTTGTAGTGAGATGGATGGACCTAGAGTCTGTCATACAAAGTGAAGTAAGTCAGAAGGAGAAAAAAAATACCGTAGGCTAACACATATATATGGAATCTAAAAAAAAAAAAAAGTTATGACCTAGGGGCAGGACAGGAGTAAAGATGCAGACATAGAGAATGGACTTGAGGACATGGGGAGGGGGAAGGGTAAGCTGGGACGAAGTGAGAGAGTGGCATGGACTTATATATACTACCCAATATAAAACAGATAGCTAGTGGGAAGCAGCCACATAGCACAGGGAGATCAGCTCAGTGCTTTGCGACCACCTAAAGGGGTGGGATAGGGAGAATGGGAGGGAGATGCAAGAGGAAGGAGATATGGGGATATATGTATATGTATAGCTGATTCACTTTGTTATAAAGCAGAAACTAACACACCATTGTAAAGCAATTATACTCCAATAAAAATGTTAAAAAATAAATAAATAAAATTAAAATAAAAAAAAGAAAATGTGGTACATATATACAATGGAATATTACTCATCCATAAAAAGGAACAAAACTGGGTCATTTGTAGAGACATGGCTGGACCCAGAGGTTGTCATACAGAGGTAAGTAAGTCAGAAACAGAAAAACAAATATCATATATTAATGCATATATGTGGAATCTGAAAAAATTGGTATAGACAATCTTGTTTACAAAGAAGACATAGAGACACAGACGTAGAGAACAAATGTATGGATACCAAGGGGGAAAGGGAGGAGTGGGATGAATTGTGAGATTGGGATTGACATATATACACTATTGATACTATGTATATAATAGATAACTAATGAGAACCTAACGTATAGCACAAGGAACTCTATTCAGTTCTCTGTGGTGACCTAAATGAGAAGGAAATCGAAAAAAGAGGGGATATATGTATACATACAGCTGATTCACTTTGCTATACAGTATAAACTAACACAATATTGTAAAGCAACTATACCCCAATAAAAATTTTTAAAAAAATTAAGTTCAGTGCAGGGATTGCTACCAAATAATTTCAGGTCAGGTCAGATTTTAACACCAACACAAATACTAAAATATTTTCTTTTTTCAGAATTTTCTGGATTGGGGATTACAGCTAAGGGATGCCGGACCTTTATTCAAACTCTGATAATCTCTCACCAGTGGTAACAAAACAGCTTCTGAATTGCTCTTCCTGTTCTCCAATTCTTCAGCATCCCACCTATCACCCTTCTAAAACTGTGTTGGCCAATACAGTTGCCTCAGCCATAGAAAGGAATGAAATAATGCCATTTGCAGCAACATGGATAGACCCAGAGATTACCATACTAAGTGAAGTAAGTCAGACAAAGACAAATATCATATAATACTGCTTATATGTGAAAGCTAAAATAAGAATGACACAAATGAACTTACATACAAAACTGACGTAGACCCACAGACATAAAAAACAAACATGATAATCAAAGGGGAAAGCAGGGGGAGGGATAAATTAGGAGCTTAGGGATTAACCTATACACACTACTATATATAAAACAGATAAGCAACAAGGACCCACTGTATAGCACAGGGAACTCCACTCAATATTTTCCAATAACCTATAAGGGAAAAGAATCTGAGAAAAAATAGATATATACGTATGAATAACTGAATCACTTTGCTGTACACCTGAAATGAACACATTGTAAATCAACTACACTTCAATAAAATAATTAATTAACTAATTAATTACATAAAATAAAAGTGAAACTGTGCTG